GAATGGTTAGACACTAGACAGCTAAGTCCCTTAGACTTTTTAAAATTTTAATTTCACACTTAGATTTGCCATCCTGGTTTCTAAGGAAGGGGGGATGGGAATTCTCCACAATAGCATGCATTCCTTACGAGTAATAAAGCTCAGTGGAAGCCAATTTATGCATTGATGCACATATATAGAATTGAGTAAATCAAAAGAAAAGTTGTTATCTCATATGCAAGATTTTTCTTTGTCTCCCAGAAGTATGACAAGTTATCTCTTGTACGTATAAAATTCTACTTTTATAGGAACTTTCAAAACCTTTGGACCCATGCTTCTTTGCCCTCTTCTAGTCTTTTGCTTTTTTCTAGTCCTAGTTCTTCAAATAAGCCCAGATGTAAATCTGGAGCAGTAATTCTCAACTTGGAGTGATCACCCCACCTCCACCCTCAGGGGACTTTCAGCACCTTCTAGAGAGGTGTTAGTTGTCATGACTTGGGAAGGCCTAGTGGGTAAAAGCCAGGATGGAAGTGCAAAGCATCATACAATGCCCAGAACGACTTCCCATCAGGAAGAATGATCTGCCCCAAATATCAATAGTGTCAAGAAGAAAGCCCTCATCTAGAGCCCCCTCCCTTGGTGCTCTGCTTCGCTAGTTACAGCCTCTTACCCTCCACCATCCTGCAAGCATCCATCTCCCAACCAATCCCAATTAGACGGATTGAACTACCCACCTGGCCTCTTTGCTAATCCGCAATCCTTGGTCATAGTTCAGCCTGGGGGAACATGGTATGGGGCCCAGTATAATAGAGTAGTCGACCGTTGAGTCTTCGGGTATAGACTCACTAAGTGAAAATTCCAGTGCCACCACTTATTAACTTATAGAACCTTAGCCAAGTTTCTTCCTCTCTCTTCGCCTGTTTTCTCACCTGAAAACAAATAAACAAAAAAGCACCATGGATAAAAATTATACCCTTAGGTCAACTGGTGGCATGGTGGTTAAGGCAACTGGATCCCACCTGGCTGACTGCACTGTTCGAGTCCCAGACCTAGTGGCCTGAAAAACATGCTGAGCACATATGTGTGTGTGCCCAAAATCCCACAAGGGGGGAGAAATGGAGAAGGCATTGCAGTTTGTCTATCTCCCAGGGAGAGTGCTTTCTCACTTTCCCTCTCTCTTATCCTCTCTTTCTCTATCTCTCTGTAAGCGCACATGCCTCTATCCAGTTTTTTAAGCAGTACCCTAACAAAAAGAATTGGTGTAAGAGTTAAATGAGTTAAGATGTGTAAAGTACCAGGACCGTTGTCTGATACCCACATGCTTAATAAATGCTAGCTGTTGTTGATCTTTCTCAAGAGGCCACCAAGATCAAGTGAGTTCTCCAACTCACTTCTTATTTATTTATTTATTATTTAACTCTACCGTGTGTGTGCTTGCCGGAGAGGCAGCAAAAGAGAGTGAGAGAGAGCAGGAAGTGGCTGTCCAAGGCAGACGCCGTGCCACAATCGCCTCTCCTCCAGTCTTTTCTCAGGACTTTGGGCAGGTGCGCGTGCGTGCGTGCACACACATACACACACACACCTGGCGTGATTCCCACGCCACCTGCGCTGGGACTCGAACCACTTAGCCAGCTGTGTGAGATCCAGTGCCTTAACTTCCACATCAAATGCTGGCCCCTCTAATTCACGTCCTCTACTCCAAGTCTGGGGAACAGGTATTTTACTCGTGATAATTTCTCTGAAATGTTTGACTCAGCTATAAGCCTTTCTCCAATTTTCTAATAACCAGGAGTTTTATATATGGAGAGGTGGGAAGTATCCTACTTTTCTCTCTCTAGTGTCAGTCATCTACAACCTATCCCTAAGGCAAAAAAAGCCCTTGGTTGCATAAAGGTGGGAGAGATTAGAGAGAAGAAAGGATACATTTTTCCAAATAAGGTCTTGGATGACATACAATTATTTTTTATAAAAAGAATTATTTAATTGTATTTATTATTATTATTATTATTATTATTATTATTATTATTATTTTACATGTGGGAGTCTAGCACCTTAACCACCTGCCAGCCCTAGACACAAAATTCTTTCTTTCTTTTTTTTTTTTTTTTTTTGCAGGGGGGAGGTTTTTGCTATAGGGCATGTGCACTCGCCAGAAAAACAGAGACAGAGAGACAGAAAGCAAGAAATCACCTCCCCAGGGGAGATGACCAATCCCTTCTCCTCCATTCTCCTCTTGGATCTTGGGCACACACACACATGTGCCCGAGGTGAGTTTAAGCCACCAGGTCTGGGACTCGAACCACGGTCAACTACATGGGAGTCCAGCAACATAGCCATTGCACCAATTTCTGGTCCCCAAATTCTTAATCTATAGATGGAAATGGACAAGTGAATGAATGAGAGGATAGATGCATTATGGGCAAATGCCTAAATTTCTGGCATGAATGTTCACACGGATGGTGATGCCTTTTGCCATGATGAGATTTGTAAAATAAAACAGTCTGGTGGCAAGCTCTTGTGTTCACTCTTGCTATGGATAGGTGGTGTTTGTGTAAATGGACATATAATTGTCCAGCAGGAAGTGGGGTTTATGGACTATCTCCATAGCTCAGTGATTAATGAGGATTCCACATGGCCACCTGCAGTTCCAACAGTTGGAGGAAAATACACCATGCATGGGTGTGTGCATGCCCAAAATCCTGATAGGAAGGAAGAATGGAGGGAAAGGGATTGCAGTGTAACCAATGTAACAGCACAGTGGGAGCTCTCTCTCTCTCTCTCTCAAACTGGGGAGCACAGTAAAATTAGAAGATGGGGAGTTTATGGGTTTAATCTTAAGAGATGGATTTAGGACTTCTTGGTAAATAAATGGTAATTGAGTAAATGAAAGTTTAAGAGACTAAATAGAAAGGAGATACTGAGTCAGAACAGGAGTGTTTGGATGGATGGATGCATGGATGGATGGATAGATAAGCGAGACAAAGAAATTGGGGCACGTGTGGACACATACATGGCATGTTTTTTAAGCCTCTAGAGCCAGGGCTTGAACTGCAGTTGGCCATGGAGGATCTAGCTGTCTTTACCACCACACCACGGGCTGGCCCAGAAATAAACTTCTTTAGATTTTCATGATGGGTTTAAAAAGTTTTACATTGTTGCACATACTTTATTTTTTGGTGAATAATGAAGGATAGCAGTTGGGCTGTCTTGCCTATATTGTTTACTCTAGATAACCCACAAGAATGATTTTCTGAATTTCAAACTAATATTGTACACTTTCGACATCTCCCCCAAATAATTGCTTGCCTTTAGGAACCCTTCATTAATATCCATTTGATCAAACCTCATTTACCAGACTTTCTTCATTAATATGAAATAAAGAATGAACTCAATTATTTAACAAATATTTCTTGTTTCTTGTTTTATGCAAGGCATTGTTCCAGGTGTTGGGCTGTATAAGATAGTACAACAGTCTTGCCCTTGTAACACTTTTATTTTAGAGATATGTACTTACAGAAAATTATCTAAATGCTTTTAAACATGATCATTAACTTGGATGGTAGAATGACATCTATAAAGTGAAATAAGTTAAATGATACATATCAAAGATTGAATTAGAAAGTTTTAATTCCTTGTTCAGCTACATTCTTCATTTTTATTTGTTTATTTTTTTGAGAGGTTTTTGCTATAGGGCGCATGTGCTCACCAGAAAGACAGAGAGAGATAGAGAGACAGAAAGTGAGAAATCCCCCCCGCCCGCCATGGGGAATGGCCACGCCACAATCCCTTCTCCTCCATTCTCTTCTTGGGATCCTGGCCATGCACACACACACACACACACACACACACACACACACCTGGCGTGGCATGAGTTTAAGCCACCAGGTCCAGGACTCGAACTGCGGTTGACTACATGGGAGTCCAACAACACAGCCATTACACCAACTGCTGATCCCAGCCACATTCTTCTTTAAATTTTAATAATGCCTTACCATGCCAGGTTATTCTGAACATTGAATTTTATTGAATAAAAACAAATATGTAAAAGCACTTCTCTTTTTCTTTCTTTCTTTTTCTTTTCTTTTTTTTTTTTTTTTTTTTTTTTTTTTTTTTTTTTTTTTTTTTTTTTTTTTTGGCTAAAAGGCGTATGCTCTTGCCAGAGAGAGAAACAGAGTGAGGGAGAGGAGGAATGGTCATGCTACAATCCTTCTCCTTCATCTCTCCTTTCTTTTGGGATGTTGGGCATTCATGCATGCATTCAAGTCCTGTGTGTTTCCCAGGCCGCAGGGCCTGGAGTCTGACCACTTAGTCAACCATATGGTATTCAACTGCCTTAGCCACCAGGCCATGCAGCCAGCCAGAAAGCACTTTTAAAAGAAACATTTCTGTGTTAACTTAAGGGAGTGATGATGAGATCATCAGCGGCAGCAGCAGCATATAACTATCAATTCACAGAGACACCACAAGCAGTTATTTCAGTCTATGGGTCAGCCTTGCAAAACTAAGGAAGTGTTTTTTGGGGAAAAAATAAAGATATTTTGCTTGCATCTGTATCATAATTTTATGTACAGAGTTTCTATACTGTATATACATTTCATTGTCAAAAGCATGTGAAATGACATTTGTGTATGGGACAAGAACAGTCAGGGAAAACCTCATAAAGTTATTCACACCCTTGAGTAAGGCAATACCCTGAGACGGCCGGTTGTATATTGTGTTGACTCAAGGATGTAAGTTCTTGAACAGTTGGACTGGTGAGAATGTGCTGTCTCTGGTGGGGCCCACATGCATTTATAGTTCTGCTTTGGGAAATGCTTAAGAGGCCAAAATCACAACAGAGAAAATGGAAACGACCTGTGTTATTCTATTGGACTCTCCACATTTTGATATTTTAAAACTTACGTGTTAAGAATGATGTAAATTTGTCAACAAAATTTAGGCCAATCTTGTTGAATATTGTGTCCCATTCAAACACTTGAGAATGGACTTTTGTAATTATCCAACCTATTTTAATTTTTCAGGTCATAAGGCCTATGGAAACTCTGCCCCTAAAGAACCACAAGTAGTCACAGCAATGGAGTACCACGGTACAGTATCTCACTGACTTCTCATGACCTGTATTATCTCAATAACTCACGAGGACGAAGCGTGCAATACTCTCTACTTGTCGAGATCCTACGCCTCACTTTACACTAACTCCTCTGCCTAAAACGTTCCCCTATGCTGTTTCTATCTCAAGAACTCTTTCTCAGGCCAGCAGATGGTATAGTGGTTAAGGTGCTGGATTCCACGGGATTGACTTTTGAGGTGCATGTGTGTGTGTGTGCATGCCCAAAACCTCGAGAAGAGAATGGAGGAAAAGGGATTGCGGTGTGGCCACCTCTAGGGGGTGATTTCTTGCTTTCTGTTTCTCTGTCTCGCTCTTTCTCTCTGGCAAGCACACTCACCCTATAGCAAAAAAATCTCTCAAAACCAAAAAACCCACGAACTCTTTTTCCACCTTTTTAGTGGAAATTCTGGACATTCAATGAAAGACTGCAGGTATGTCGGAAGTCTCTAATTATGTGAATTATCTGCAATGAAACAAATGTAGTTTGTAAAATAAAAAGATAAAGATGTTTCTAATCAGCTAGATTTGGTAAATAGAAATTCACACTTGAAACTGTGAATTTAAGATGACATTGATACGACTTATTTTAGGAGGCCATTTTCTTACTTAGTTTAGCTTCTTGGTATATTTTTGATGGCGAGTTGATTACTTGGTTTAAATTTTCAGTTTTGCAAGATGAAAAAGTCTTGGAGATTGTATATATGCAGGATTATGCGAGTATACTTAGCACTACTAAACTATTTGGTTAGAAATAGTTAAGATGGCAAAATTTTATGTTATGTGTATTTACCACAGTTAAAAAATCTAGAGAGAAACTATGAAGTATGATTAGCAAAGTAACAAAAATTATGTATAAGAATTGTTGTCAGTTTACTTCAAATATTGACTGCCTTTTACTTTTTCCAATGTATCTTTTACCTGGATTACAATTAATACTAGGCTATCAGAAGAATTACTATTTCTGGGACCAGCAGATGGCATAATGGTTATGTCACTGGACTCCCATGTAGTTCAAATCCTGGACCCAGTGGCTTAAAATTAATGCTGGGTGTGTGTGCATGCATACCCAAAATCCTGAGAGGAGACTAGAGTGAAAGAGATTGCGATGTGTGAGTGATTTCTCTTTCTCTCCAGCGAGCACGCACACCCTAATGCAAAAATCTCTCTCTCTAAAAGAAAACAAGAAATACTGATACTAAAGTGATAGTGGTAGCACTATTACTACTAAAAGAATATAATAGAATTACTGTTTCTTTTTTTTTGTTTTTGGAGAGGTTTTTGCTATAAGACACATGCACTCGCCAGAAAGACAGAGAGGGACAGAGAGACAGAGAGTGAGAAATCACCCCCCCAGGGGGATGGCCACACTGCAATTCCTCCTCCTCCATTCTCCTCTTGGGATCTTAGGCACACACACACACTTGCCCGGCATGAGTTTAAACTGCTGGGCCCGGGACTTGAAGCACGGCCAACTACATGGGAGTCCAGTGACATAGCCATTACGCCAACTACTGGTCCCACCATTTCATTTCATTTCTTTTTTTTTTTTTAACTTCTTGTTTTATTCTGAGAGATTTTTGCTATAGGGTGTGTGTGCTTTCTGGAGAGACAAAGAGAGACAGAAAGCCAGCAGGCATGGTCATGCCACGATCTCTTCTCCAGTCTCCTCTCAGGATTGTGGGCATGCACATATACATGCCCAGAGTGAGTTTTTTGCTGCCGGGTCTGGAACTGGAACCATGGACAACTATGTGTGAATCCACCAATGTAACCACTACGCCATCTGCTGGTCCCAAGAATTATTATTTATTAAATGTAATGCTTATTTTGGCCAAAGATTCTAAGTATTTAAGAACCGAGTTCAAAGCTTAAAGACAAGAAATGGGAGGGAGGGCGATGTTGACTTACTTAGTATGTGTATAGCGTTTACAATAGTGCCTAGCATGTAACAAGTGTTATATGTGCTTGTTAAGTGAAGATACACAATAATAAGGCAGTTCATTATTCAAGAAGAATAAGACAAATAGTTACTTAGGTTAATTAGGTTGTCTTAAGTCCTAACATTTTACATCATGAAGCTTATAAATCACTATCGTGAGTTACTTTTACATGGGAAAAAGGCGGGAAGAGCAACTTAATGACTGGGTGTAACTGGGGACTTTGAAACACAGAGAGAGTATCAACTGGGCTGGGTGAGATGCCAGAAGGGAGACTGGGAAAGCCGAAAGAGTGAGCACAGTGGGAGAGGGAAAAGGTGAATCAGGATGTCCCTGAGGGACCAAGGAAATGAAGTTCTTTTCTATTTTTCGTTTTTCCGGAGGTTCTTTTTGTTGGATCCAATTTGATAGAGTTGATATTCATCCCTGCCCCGCAGACCCTATGCCATGAGATTGAAATTAGAACATCAAAATTATATTCTTTATTCTTACATTATGTGGAAAAAAGTTTATTGAGGTAAAATTCACATAAACACAAAGTCCATCATTTTAAAGTGAACAATTCAGTGGCATTTAATATATATTCACATTGTTGTGCAGCTGCCACCCCTACCTAATTCCAAGACATTTTTATCACTCCAAAACAAATCTTTGTATCCATTAATATGACTTTTTGATACACATTTTATTTGAATATAAGAAATTTTTCCATAATTTACTGCAATCAGATGTCTCACTTGTTCCAAAATATAAGCTTGTTTCACTTTTGCTCTTTTTAATTAAAAATTGCATTTGGGGGCCAGCAAGTGACATGGTAGTTGAGGTGCTGGATTCCCACATGGCCAACCATGGTTCAAGTCCTGGACCTGGAAGCTTGCCTTCTCACTTTCCCTCTCTCTCTCTTTGTCTCTTTCTGGTCAGTTAGATTAAAGAAGAAAAATAATAAATAATATTCCACATGAAACATTGCATTTAATTCTATTTTGTATGTGACCCAATCATTTCAGCTTGGGTGTTCATAAACCAAAAATAAATTTCTATCCCTTCCACATTTTAGTTTTTGTATATTTTATGCAATATTTTATGATTTATGTATGCGTTTGTGTGTTCCACCCAATTCCTTCGGTTTTTATCTCTTATTGCTCTGATGTCCAGAAGTTGTGAGTTAATTCATTCTTTTCAAGGCTGCTATTTGGAGTCACTTCCCATGGTGGTGCCAAAAGCAGAATGAGACTGAAATCAGGTCAGTCTGCTGGGTTTGCAAATTACGTGAATAGCCCTGTGCAAACAGCGGCCAACCCTGAAAGGTATAAATCAGAGTTTAGTAGCAAGAATTTCTCCTCAGAAGTAATTTCTACCAGTTCTTCAGAACTATCTTGGTAGTATCAATTCTCTCTTTGTGTTAGGTAAGAGGCTGATGATATCTTGGGCCAGCAGGTGGTGTAGAGGTTAAGGCACTGGATCCCAGATAGCCAGCTTTGCAATTCAAGTCCTGGACCCAGCCTCTTGAAAAGTACTCAGGCGTGTGTGCATGCATGCCCAGAAATCCGGATAGGACTCTCTCTCTCTCTAGCAAACACATGTGCCCTATACCAAAAAATCAAAACAAAACAAAACAAAACAAAAACTGGTTTTTTTGATGATTTTTAAATTTGAGCACTGAGAATAAAATTAAAAGATTAAAAATCAAAAGATAGTTGGCAGTACAGAATACCAGAAAAATTTAAATTCATAATGAATCTATGTGATTACTAAAAGTGATTATTTTGATATATGTTGTTGCTAATGCTTATATAAACAAAGATTTACTTTTCCCCAGTCCAAATGAAACAGACATTATGGTAATGAAATACCTTCATAGAAAACTTGTTACATTTTTCTATGTTACATTTCCATACATTTTTCTATGCTACTATGCTTTGTGTTAGGAAAATATGAATTAAGTCTGTGTTATTTTCTTTGCTGCTCAAACAGTAGCTCTTTACTTCAAATTTAAGTAACTTATAGATAAATTTGTGATGATATAAAGTATAAAGAATTTGACAAGCTTGCTATTATAACTAAAGAGAAGTTCTTCAGGGGCCAGCAGGTGGCATGGTGGTTAAGGTGCTGGACTCCCACATGACTGACTGCAGTTTGAGTCCCAAATCTGGTGGTTTGCTTTCTCACTCTCTCTCTCTCTCTCTCTGTCTCTCTCTCATGAGTGCATGTGCCCTATAGCAAATTAAAAATAATAGTAATAATAACAATTATAGATAAAAAATAAATAATTCTTTTTAAAAGAGATAAGTTCTTCATTGGTAGAAACATTAATGACCACCTCTGAATGCAATCGTACCATATGCAAGGTGCTGTGTGCACCAAGGATACATATATATTATATTTCATCTTTACACAACTTTATGAATTGAGTACTATCATTTCTTATTATCTTACAGCTATGAGTATAATGTTTAAAAAAAAGATAAATATTTTTCTTAATATCACAGCCTTAGTATATGGCAGGGGTTTAATTTCAAAGCCTGTGCTTTGAAATGCTGTATTACAGCATAATAACCCTGAACCTCAATACAGAAAATTATGCTGGCTGTGAGTGTTGAATGTTGGCTGAAGAATGAGAGGAGAGTCTATGGGAATTAGTGTCTAAGTTACTTGGTCCTTTATTCTTCGATGTTGATCCTGAGATTCCAGTGTTTTTACTGTCTGTATTCATGTCCCAGGGCTGCCATCACAAAACACTGAAAATTAGAAGCCTTAGAACAACAGAAATTCCTGGCCCATATGTATGCGTTCCCAAAATCCCAAGAGGAGAATGGAGGAGAATGGGTTGCAACATGACCATATCCCCTAGGAGGTGACTTCTTGATTCCTGTCTGTCTCTCCAGCGAGCATACACACCCTAGAGCAAAAATCTCTCTCTCTAAAAAACAAAATAAAAAACCAGAAATTAATTCTCAATTTGGGAGGTTAGAAGTTCAAGATCGAGGTAGAGGCATCTGAGGGTCTAGGCACTGGCTCTTTTCTTCCTTGGAACCCTCTTTCTTGAAGACCCACATAGTGAATTTCCATGCTTACATCTTTGGTCAAATGTCACCTTTTTAGTAAAGCAAACTCTGACCACCCTGTTTTCAAGAACTGAAAACAAATGGCAGTGCTTCTGCAGTACTCCCAAGCCTGGTGTGTTCTGCTTTATTCTCCTTTATATCCACTGTGCCCATCACCTTGTAATATGCTATGTCGTGTACTTTACGGTGTTTCTTGTTTGCCTGACTTGCCCTGTTGGGTTGCATGATCCCAAAAGGCAAGAATCTTTGTTTTGTTCACCGACAGAACTCAGGAACGAGGTGGGCCGTGTGCTAAGTCCTCAACGTATTTTGGACGAAGTGAAGAGACCATCTCTCTACATTTCACATGGTCAATGAGAGGCTGAAATGATGCTCTGGATATAGTGGTTATATCTGCTGTTATAGTTTCCATAGAGCTTTTCCAACAAAGCAGTGAAGACAGAAATCATGAAGAACTCAGCAAGAGTGGGGAGTGTGCATGTGTGTGTGTCTAGTTGCGTGTGTGAGCCTAGTTAAATATATGAAACAATGTGATTGCGTATAAAAGTGTTCTGAAAACATGGGAGTAAGACAGAGCATGGGCTAAAAGTGAGTGTGGGTGTGTGTTTAATTGTTGGAAACTCAACAAAATACGGGAAGGAAACCTATCTAAAACTCAAGACTCAGGAAGGTCACCACCCATTCTTCTCAATCAACAGAACTGAACTGTGTTTCCTCACACAGGTCCCTTAGCACACATTTGTCTTTGTAGCATAGTTGTAAACATGGCTGTAAAATGATGTCTCTTTGGAATGTAAAACTTGCTCTAAGAATTTTAGGCATCCTTGAAAACAACTTCTATTTCTTTTGTTTCTTTGCGTTTCTTTTCACTGCCCTACTTTCTTACTTTTTCATGACCATTTATTGTTTCTTTAATGCTGTCAATATGTGTGGAACTAAAAAGGTTAGAAACCACATCTAACAATAAGAAAAAATAAGAATTCTGCAATATCACATAGAAATTGCTACTGGGTTATGATTTTCATACATATTCTTAATGAGCTTTTAGCTCCTGGCTACATGTATATTTTTAGTAAGACCTGAAATAATATTGTGAGTATTGCTCTTTAATTTACCATATCATATAATGGCCTGCATTCTTTTTTTAATATTTATTTACTTAACATCAAAATGAGAGCTATGGAAAGGATTTGAACATGATTACTAGCCAAAGACACTGGACTTTTTTAGGCCAAATCTTATGCCTTGTGGGGAAAAACTGTCTCAGAAATATGAAGTTGACATTCTAGAGAGCATGGTCGGAACATCCTTTAAAAATATTTATAACTGGAGGTTTCCATTTGGCAACTTGAAGCAGTTCGCAGTCGAGGGCTAGGTTTTTCTCCCTTCTGTCATTTTATTTAGACATTAAAAGAGGGGGTTTCTTTGAAGGTTCCAGGAATTCTTTAATGACTCAACTGCAGTAAATTTCCAGTAATAAAGTGAACTTAGTTACATTAAGGCAGTTAAATGTGATGCCATGATTAAATATTTTAATAATTTATTTGGATTACAGTCAGTTTGGGGGCCATGATTGGGGATAGAAATCAATAATTTATTAGAAGCCTATTGGATTTTTATTAATGAATTTGTAAAGGTCAAACAAGAGGGGATGTGAGTGAGAATGTAGCTTGTTGGGGGTGAAACTCTGAGGTTCCTGGCATGGCCTAGACTGGACTAAGTGCCTTTCTTAGGCACTAAGGGTGAAGAGCCCTCTGGAGGTAGACCTTCGTTCTAGATTGAAATGACATCTTACCTCCCTCTTCTATCACACTGTACAGTCCTTGGAGACTGAAATTGGAAATAATACAATGAATAATTAATCGCAGCTGCCATTCGTTAAGTCCTGTCCTTATTACATCTAGTCCTGTGTACTTTACATATACTATCACATCTGAAGACTCGTAAGAACTCTGTCTGGTACTACCCCATTTATTAAATGGAAGGTCCAGCTCATTAACTAGGAAAAGCTTTGTGTTACACAGTTACTGTGTAGGAGAGCTATAATTACAGCTTTCAATTCATCTTTGGCTTAAGCCAGCATGGTACCTGTTGATGTCATTTATGAATGAGTGAATGAATACAAATATAAAGGAGTAACTTGAGGATATTTGAGAATTTGTTACCTAATTACGTAAATTATAAATTCATAGAGCCAATTAGAAAACAAGCATTTTTGTGATTGTTCCTAGAGGCTATGTTAGATTGTCGAAGCCCAAAGAAGACCGTGTCTTCAAGATTAGAGTGGAAGAGACTGGGACAGAGTGTCTCCTTCGTCTACTTCCAGAAGTCTCTTCGAGGTAAGGAGCTGTCGTCTGGAAGTAGCAAAAGAACTCCACGGGCAGCTTGGGTCCTTTAACTTACAAGTGAAAACAGGACATTGCCGATGATTGAAAATGTCTGTGTAAGAATGGGATGAAACCAGTAGTGTCTGAGACCTAAAACACGACAGCCACAAACACAAGGGACTCCGCCCTGTTCTCCAACAGTAGTAGGTGAGCCCTTGAATCCCAGGACTCTTAATTTCTCAGCCCTGTCCTAGAAGATACACAATTCAATGGTTCTTGCTGACCCTGTAGATTAAACTCCTGAGACAAGGGAAGAAAAAGTGGCACGGGGTGGGAATGGAGGGTGGCTGCCATCAGTAATGCCCTCGCCCAATTTCCTTATCTCCATCTAGGTAGCTAGGCTACTGCTGCGACAGGGACTTGAGATTTATGAACAGATGATACGACCATCATAAAATGCTTTTTCTTCTTTCTTCTTTATTTGTTACCTATGTCTTTCCACTTCCTACTCTTCTTGTTTAATATGTGATGAACTTTTCATTTAAAATGATGGTAATGATGGATGACGAATTGTGCTGTCCGTTTGATTCTAAATAACCAAAATAAATTATTTAAAAAGCACGGATAAAATAAGATAGGCCATACTCAAAATAAATTGTTGAAAAAGTACAGATAAAATAAGATAGGCCATTAATTGATTACTCTTTTAATTAGGCAAGAGATATGTTGAGATTCATTATTCTACTCTCTAATTTTGTGTATGCTTGAATTTTTTCATTATAAATATTTTTAAACTGTAACAAGGATGTAAACATTATTTTGAAATAGTCAATACTGGGACTAGCGGTTAATGCAATGGCTATGTCGCTGGATTTCCATGTTGTCCACCGGGGTTCAAGTCCCAGGCTTAAACTCACGCCGGGTGCGTGTGCGTGCGTGCCCAAGATCCCGAGAGGACAATGGAGGAGAAGGGATTGCGGCGTGGCCATCCCCTCTGGGGGGTGATTTCTCGCTGTCTTTCTGTCTCTCTGTCTCTCTCTGTCTTTCTGGTGAGCGCATGCACCCTCTAGCAAAAAGCTCTCCAAAAAAAAAAAAAAAGAAGAAGAAGAGGAAGAAGAAGAAATACTCAATACTACGTGTTCCTTTAAATGAATTAGTGGAGAAGATGTTAGAGTTTACTTTATAGGCAATTTAAAGCATACCTCTAATTCTTATGTACCAAGGTAAGACTATAGGCTGCGAAGGGCTATGGGACAGCCCTTTCTTTGTTTGAAAGGTGTTTTCCATGAGGTGTGTGTGCTCGCCAGAGGGACAGTGAGAAGGATAGTGAGAGATCACCCCTCAGGGGGAATAGCCACACCATAATCCCTTCTCTTCCAATCTCCTCCTGGGGTTTTGGACACATACACGCATGTGCCCACAGTGATTTTTAAGCCATGACATTCAGGACGTGAACCGTGGTTGGCCGTGTGGGACTCCAGCACCTTAACTACCACATAACCTGCTGGCCCCAGCACGGCCCTTTCTTGTCACTCCTCTTTTCCTCTGTGGCAAGATCATGTAGGCCACCACACAAAGTTTCTGTTCCTGCCAAGGAAACCACGCTTTCGTGTGTGTGTGTGTGTGTGTGTGTGTGTGTGTGTGTGTGTGTGTGTCTGTTTATAGAGGTTTTTGCTATAGGGCATGTGCACTCGCCAGCCAGCCAGAGAGAGACAGAGACGGAAAGCGAGAAATCACCCCCCAGGGGGGATGGTTACACCGCAATCCCTTCTCCTCCATTCTCCTCTCGGGATCTTGGGCACGCACGCACACGTGCCCGGCGTGAGTTTTAAGCCACCGGGTCCGGGATGCAAACTGCGGTAGACTACGTGGGAGTCCAGCAACATAGCCATTACGCTAACTGCTTGTCCCAAAAGAAAATGTGAAACTAAATGTTCTGTTCGAACATTCTTAAAAAATTTCTTCTTAAGAAAAAGAAATCTAAATTATGCATCCATATATAATTTTTGTTTTAAAATGTATTTTATTAACAGGAAAATAAGTACTTTAGGTACTGAATGAAGTGACTTGAAGAAGGTATTACATAGAAAGTCTCTTGTATTATTACTAACACTGCTGTCTTCTTTTTCTAAAAGGTGATTTTAAAAATCGAGCTGAAATGGTAGATTTCAGTATTCGGATCAAAAATGTTACAAGAAATGACGCGGGGAAATACCGTTGTGAAGTGAGTACCCCATCTCAGCAAGGCCAGAAACTGGAAGAGGATACATTCATCCTAGAAGTATTAGGTGATGTGCATTGTGTGTGTGTGACTCCTTCCCTACCCCGAGCTCCGTTCCCCCGGCTCTGGGGCAGCGAGGCACTGGGCCATGAGTACACCAACAGCCACTGGGAGCACAGCCATTAAGTTACAAGACCCACCTTCCTGACAAAGTCGCAGCTGTTCTCCCCATCACCTCATTGGCTGCTGAAATTTTACTGTCGCCAATTCGTTATCATAAAAATCTGTTTATTTAAGGTTGAGGTGATTTCTCATGGTCCTTTTCCAGGAGTTTATTTTTCAGTAGCCTTTAGCATACAAGGGGTCTTCAAAAAGTTCTTAGAAAATGCATATTATGAAGAGATTATATGGGTTTCAAAATTTTTTGCACCAAAATAAACGTGTACTTTAATTCAATTTTTACATGAACTTTATGTTGCGGGGGGGGGGGATTATTTTTGCTATAGTGTGTGCATGGGCTCACCAGAAAGACAGAGAGAGACAGAGAGACAGAAAGTGAGAAATCACCAACCCCCCAGGGGTATGGCCATGCCACAATTCATTCTCCTCCGTTCTCTTCTCAGGATCTTGGGCACGCACGCACACGTGCCCGGTGTGAGTTTAAGCCACGGGGCCAAGGCCTGGAGCCACAGTTAACTACACGGGAGTCCAGCGACATAGCCATTACGCCAACTGCTGGTTCCATACATGAACTTTTTCAAGTATCCACACATGTGCTATTGATGTTTCTCCCACCCTCTAAAATGGTATCCTATGAGATGACAGAAAAGCAATACCATAAAATAAGCAAACCAAGGGAAGGATTAGAAGTTATTTGGTAAAGAAAGGAAATTTGCATTTACTGTACAACTAGTGTGTATTAAGCCTTTTCACATATGCGACTTTTACTTAATCTTCACTGGTAACAGACTTTCACAGGTGAAGAAACAGAAGTGAAATTATTTTCCAAAGCCACACAGCCAGAATGTGTCTGGACCAAGATTTGGATCCAGATGGGGTTAACTCCCAAGCTAATATGTTTAGCTACTTTAAGAGTCCCTAATAGATTTTTTTAGGGAACCAGCAGTTAGCATAATGGCTATGTTGCTGAACTCCCACGTAGTCGACTGCGGTTCGCGTCCCGGACCCGGTGGCTTAAAACTGACGCCGGGCGCGTGTGCGTGCGTGCCCAAGATCCCGAGAGGAAGATGGAGGAGAAGGGATTGCGGTGTGACCATCTCCCCTGGGGGGTGAATTCTCGATTTCTGTCTCTTTGTCTCTCTCTGTCTGTCTGGCAAGCGCATGCACCCTCACACAAAAAAAAAAAAAAAAAAAAAAAAAAAAAAAAAAAGAGGAAAGAGTCCCTAATAGATTTTTTGTTTGTTTTAAGAATTATTTTATTTAAATTTATTTATTTATCTAAATTTTGACCACAGAGTGGGGGAAAGTAGAGGAAAATGAGAAAGCAAGCACCAGGTTCAGGACTCAAACCACAGCTGCCCATGGGGGAGTCCAGCACCCTTAAGCACCACGCCACCTGCCAGTCTCCCTGATAGGTGTTAATAGCTTTTGGCAACAGTTTCTGGAAGAATAGACTTTTTTTCCTCTCTTTGGTGTTGGTATACATACTAAGTAAAAGTAACAAAAGAACTCCTCTTCTTTTTTACTGTTGTCTAAACTCTTCCTGAAATTCTAGTGATGCACTAGTATAGAATAAATTAACTAGAAAACCTGGCAGCAGATTCAGCCAGTGTATTCATTTTGGAATGCTGTGTAACAAATTTTATAACAAATTAGCAGCTTAAAAAAACATCCATTCTTGGCACCAGCAGATCGCTCAGTGGTTAAGGCTCTGGACTCCCACATTCCAGTACCTGGCAGCTTGCTTTATCACTTTCTCTCTCTCTGTCTATGGTCAAATTAAAAAACAGTAATAATAATAAAAATTAAATAAATAATTCTTTTAAAAAAATTTTAAGAAGAACATCCATTCTTTTTTTTTTTTTTTTGAGAGGATTTTGCTATAGGGTGCATGCATTTGCCAGAAAGAGAGAAGTCACCCCCCAGGGGGGATGGCTACGCTGCAATCCCTTCTCCTCCTTTTTCCTCTTGGGATCTTAGGCACGCATGCACACACACCAGGCGTGAGTTTAAGCCACTGGGTCTGGGACTTGAATTGCAGTCAACTATATGGGAGTCCAGTGACACAGCCATTAAGCCAACTGCTGGTCCCAAGAACATCTATTCTTTAGGTCAGAAGTCTGGCAACATGACTGGGGTCTCTGCCCAGTGTATATATGACTGAAATGGAAGTGTCAGTTGGACTGAGTCCTCATCTGGATCTCCCAGCTTAGCATAATATGAGTAGACTTTAAAGTTTGTGTAAAAATGGAATCAAAGTTTAAATTTATTTTTGGTCCAAAAAAAATTGAAATCCACACATAGATTTTTTCAGTTCTCATTTTCCATGAATTTTATGAATACTCCTGGTAGTTTCTTGCTCACTTAAGTGAAGCCTTAATAGTTGAGGCAGAGGGGTAGAGACGCTATCTTGCTCTATCTTATGAAGTCATTTGAGGCTCAACTCCATGTAGGCATGACATTTTTAGTACATGGCTTTGCAACACCCTCAGTGTTGACATCTCCTTGGTAGTGGGAAGGGATTAGGGGAATGAATGAATGGAGACTCATGTAGAAGAGTTTATGGATCAGGCCTTTTCCCCATATTGGTTTGGCCAGAAGTCATGCATGAGACCCACCTGGTGGGAATGAAGCTGGCGAACATAGTCCACTGTGTGCCCAGACAAAAGGGAACAGGTCTGCTGAATCAGTAGCCGTTCTGTCACAGATGTCTAGTAAGCAAGCACACCTCTGCCTGATTCCTGAAACCTCTGTTTAGCTTCTAACCAATACCACTTGACTTCCATTGTTCAGTGGCTCCGGCAGTTCCGTCCTGCGAAGTTCCCACTTCCGCTCTGAGTGGAACTGTGGTGGAGCTGCGATGTCAGGAGAAAGAAGGAATTCCAGCTCCTGAATACATATGGTACAAGGATGGTCTCCGTTTGCCAGAGAACTCAAAGCTTGGTTCCCAAAGCACCAACAGTTCATACACAGTGAATATAAAATCTGGAACTCTGGTAAGGTCATTTCAATGACTAGTCTAAGAGTTGTATTGCATTTGGATAAAAAAACGCATTAAAATGTACAGTGGTGGAGGGTAGGGGACTGACATCATTGCTTGCTAAGTGAAGGAAGAGGGGGCAGCAGAACAGTTGGTGGTACCTGCACCAAGCAGTTCTGGAAAGAGCTGCCATAGGACATGGGAATACACGAAGAGAACTAGGGAGCTGAGCTCACAGTCTATACCAGCAACCTGAAGAAGACCAAGCACTGATTCGTGAGAATGGATCCGACAGGTCACTATAGCTACTTTTGTGTGCTGAAAAATCACCAAGTGCAGTTTCAGTTTACACCAAGGATGTGCATGGAAGTTCGCCCGGTGATACCCTAATCCTGGTGCTAACCATGTGAAACCAGTGACCATGCTCAACCCAGAGGAGGATGTCTGTGTCATGGAATAGTTCCATGATTCTAGGTCACCAACAATTGATTAGTACTTGGCTATCTATTATTTTAGATTCAATCTAGATTTGCTCCTTCAAAATATTGTGATCAAATGGCCTTGCTAGGGTTGCTGGTGGGAACCTATAAATATACTCTTGAAAGTTAATAATATTTTAAAATAAAAATTATTTTTGTCTTTTCATAGGTGACTTTTCAGGGTAGAGGCGGAGTAAAACAAAATGGTCATTAAGGGGCTGGCAGGTGGCCGAATGGTTAAGGATGTTGTACTCCCACATAACTGACCACAGTTCAAGTCCCGGACCTGGCAGTTTGCTTTCTCACTTTCTCTCTCTCTCTGTCTCTTTCTCTCTCGCTCTGTTCTTCGCTGGTCAAATTAAAATAAAACAAGTGAACAAGTAAATAAAATAAAATAATTCTAAAAATTCGTTAAGCTTGAAGCTTTTTTCATTGAAATAATATTACATGTCAATTTAAAAATAGCCTTCCATCAGCACCAAATCACTACCACAGTCATTATCAAAAATATTTTAAAGGCCTGGTAACACTGCAGTAATAATTTTTAGTGATTTTTGAAAGGAAGGCTTACTATTTTCTTCCCTTCAATCTATGATCATATTGTAATATTTAGAAACTCGGTCTTCTGATGAATGGTTAATTGAATTGATAAGGTGGCTAGATATCAAAGCACACCAGTAGATGCAGCTACTCCTTGAGGAAGGCCGTGCACCGGACCTCTCAGCAGTCAGCAGGCCCCGTCAGCAGGTCCGAGTGACTTTACACCGAGAATTGGACAGAAAACCTGTCGTCACACTTGGCTATATTTACTTTTCAAATTTATTTTTTCTCAGAGCAGGTGATAAAAGCCCCATGGCAACTCTGAGATGATATAGATTCACTTTCCTCAGCCTCAACCCTGGAAATATCTTGTGATGCAAAAGGAAGGCTCAAGGGTTGAATGAGGATGGGGTCTTTTGTGAAAGATGAACCAGCGGGACTCCAGGGTATGGATGCCATGACTTCCTGGTTGTTACCTAGGTGTAATGTGCTGGGAGGTCATTTTCCGTTTTAGTCTAATTTGGGTATACATAACCTTGGCCTTGAGTTCATGGTGAATATTCTAGACATCTTCTAAACTTTGGAGCTAGGGATGATTCCTCTGAGTAAAAACAGTTTAGGAAGCACTCCCACCACTTTACAGAACCCAGAGACAAGAGGAAGTGTAGTGGTCAAAAAAGAGCGAAGGGAAGAGCAGCAAATAGATCCAAACCGTGACTACTTTGGGGAACATGTATTGCAGAAGACTGCCAGGCAATGGGGAGGTGTCCCTCAGGGGTTCATGGCTCCCAAGGAGGTCAGCCGTGACTACTGCAGTATGCCGATGTGATCAGGGGGTCTGAGGAATGGTTACATGATCCTGAGCACCCCTCACCTACTGAAGTGATCCTGGAAGGGTCCAGGACTTCCCTCCCTCCCTCCACCCCTTTGTCCATCTTTCCCTCCCTTCTTTCCTTTCTGTGTGCTTTCCTTCCTTCAAGAAATTCTCCAAAAGGAGAAACTTACTGATGCGAATCATGAAATCTGTTATACCGATGTCTTACCTTTTAGTGGCTTCAACAGGGAATGGATCTTGCAAGGATTGGACTTTATTTTTGCAGAATTTTCAAAAGTTCTAGGAATAATAGAGTTTATCAACTTAATTCTATAAACAACATCAATGAAGATTTTCCTGCTTCTGGAAAGTAACTGGCTCTTTGAAGAGAGTGTTGATTATTTGCTGCAGGAGTGAGCTTACCTATAGCCGGAAAGTGCATCAACCCTTTTTCCAGGGAGATCTCTATTTATAAATGTTATTTCCTAGGAATTAGAAATACCTATACAACATAATACCTCTGTGTTCTGTAAACTTTTTAAAAACTGTTCTCTGCCTTCTGGCCCTTCCTCACCTTAATACTGTCTTGGTAGCATATTTAAAAAAAAAAAAAAAAAGAAAGAAAAAAGAAACATATATACATATATAGCAGTTCTAGTTATTTGCACCTTAAAGTTGGGGCAGATGTTTAAATTCACAGTAAAGATATAAAGTACTAAGTCATGTAAAAGGAAAGACTAATTTAATACTAAAATTTAAGAAACATGACTGTTTAAGCAGTGATTTATTGCTTTAAAATGTGTATTTGTTTTTCCTTCAACAAATAGCAATTTAACACTGTTTCCATATTGGACACTGGAGAATATTTCTGTGAAGCCCGTAATATTGTTGGACATAGCAGGTGTCCTGGGAAGAGAATGCAAGTAGGTAAGCTTGAAATATTTGCAAAAAACAAGTGGTCTTTTTTCTTTCTTTACTTTTTTTTTTTTGGAGAAGTTTTTGCTATAGGGCACGTGCGTTTGCCAGAAAGACAGAGAGACAGAAAGCGAGAAATCACCCCCCCAGAGGGGATGGCCATGCCGCAATCCTTTCTCCTCCACTCTCCTCTTGGGATCTTGGGCACGCACGCATATGCACCTGGCGTGAGTTTTAAGCCACCAGGTCCAGGACTTGAACCACAGTCGACTACATGGGAGTCCAGCAATATAGCCATTGCGCTAACTGCTGGTCCCTCTTTTTTTTTTTTTTTTTTTTTTTTAGAAATTTTTGCTATAAGGCACTCTCACCAGAAAGACAGAAAGACAGAGAGATAGAAAGCGAGAAATCACCCCCCACCCCCCTACGGGGATGGCCACGCTGCAATCCCTTCTCCATTCTCCTCTCGGGATCTTGGGCAAGCACGCTCACGCACCCTGCGTGAGTTTGAGCCACCCGAACCGCAGTCAAGTACATGGGAGTCCAGGGACATAGCCATTATGCCAACTGCTGGTCCTGAAACAAGTGTCTGCAATTAGTGTGCAGGTTTTCAAGGGTGAAAGGGCTCCAGGATAGAAAAGAGTTGAATGATTTGAAAGATAGAGGATCGAAAGTTTAAAATTAGCATGAAATTACCACATGTTAAGGAGCAAAGATGCTGGTTTTATTCCTAAATAAACACCTAAATAAACCAAGACTATTTGGCATTATATTTAACAATTGTTAAAATTTCCAAATAACTATCTTTAAGATATGCTCTTTGGGACCAGCTGGTGGCATGGTGGTTAAGGCAGCTGGATCCCCCATGGCTGACTAAGTGGTTTGAGTCCCAGACCCGGCAGTTCGGAAAACACACCCAGGGGCATGTGCCTGTGTGCCCAAAATCCCAAGAGGAGAATGGAGAAGGGATTGCATTGTGTCTGTCCCCTTTGGAGGGTGTTTTCTTACTTTTCCTCTCTTTCTCCCTCTCTCTATTTGTCTCTCTCCAGTGAATGCAGGCACCCTGTAGCAAAATTTAAAAAGAAATATAGAAGGAAGGAAGGAAGGAAGGAAGGAAGGAAGGAAGGAAGGAAGGAAAGAAGGAAGGAGAGAGAGAGGAGAGAGAGACAGAGAGAAAGGAAGGAAAGAGAAGGATGGGAGGGAGGAAGGAAGGAAGGAAGGAGAAAAAGAAAGAAAGAAAGAAAGAAAGAAAGAAAGAAAGAAAAAGAAAGAAAGAAAGAAAGAAAGAAAGAAAGAAAGAAAGAAAGAAAGAAAGAAAGAAAGAAAGAAAGAAAGAAAGAAAGAAAGAAGGGAGGGAAGGAAGGATAAAGAAAGGAAGAAAGAAAGAGAAAGAGAGAGAGAGAAAGGAAAAGAGGGAGAGAGAAAGAAAAAAGAAAGAAGGAAGGAAGAAAGAAAATGCTCTTTTGAGTAATCTTGCAAACAAAAGCTAAATGTCTTGAGGTCTTACATTACTGAAAGTCTAGAACAGTCTGTATGGGGGTTCAAATTCTGGCTCTGCCATTTAGGAGTTACATATTTTGGAGGAAGTTATTCGGCTTTGTCCCTCAGTCTCCCCAGGTTTTATGTAGAAATACACCTTCCTTAAAGAATTATAAAGCAATAATCCATTTTTTTTTGAGACATTTTCGCTATAGGGCGCGTGCGCTCGCCAGACAGACAGAGAGAGACAGAGAGACAGAAAGCGTGAAATCACCCCCCGGGGGGATGGTCACGCCGCAATCCCTTCTCCTCCACTCTCCTCTTGGGATCTTGAGCATGCACCCACACGCGCCCTGTGTGAGTTTTAAGCCACCGCGTCCGGGACGCGAACCGCGGTCGACTACGTGGGAATCCAGCGACATAGCCATTACGCTAACTGCTGGTTCCCAAGCAATAATCCATTTTTGAAAGTGATAAAATATGGGGCTAGCAGATGGCATGGTGGTTAAGGTGCTGGACTCTCACTGGCTGTCCATGGTTCAAGTCCCGGGCCCTACATGTTGAAAATTCACCCTGGGTATGTGTGTGTGCGTGCCTAAAATCCTGAGAGAAGAATGAAGAAGGGATTGTGGTGTGGCCACCCCTTCCCTGCCCCCCCCCCTCGAGGGGAAATGATTTCTCACTTTTCCTCTCATTGTCTTTTTCCAGAGAGCACACACACCCTATGACTAAAACCTAAAAAAAAAAAGAAAAAGAAAAAGAGAATAACGTGGGCACATTGTGAGGACTATATGTATTAGCTATTTTAGTTGCTATCAAGTTGTTGATAATTTTTGAATCCCCTGAAGTATTAAAATTATACTCGTTCCAGAGTAGGTTCTAAAAAAGATACATCAGATGGATATGGATGTAGGTTGGTATAAAACGTAGCTGCCATATATTGTGCCCAACAAAATGTGCATCTCGGTCCAATAAAGTTAATGCTTAAAAATCTGTTCTAGGTTATATGAGTTTCACAGAACACATATCATTTCCTTTTTGGTTTTATTTCTAATACATTTGTGATTGATTGATTTTATCCATCAAGATATTATCTGCTAAACTCATTCAATTGGTGACGCTTATAGTCAAATGTAAGTACTTTTTTTAAATGATGAGAAATTATTCCTTCTAGTGCCATTTTTAATTATCGCTGAAATTATTCATCCAAACGTGTTTGAAAGTTAATGCATTAGGGTGTTTTTCTACCTTTGTTCATTAAGGTGCTGTCCTCAGGTTCTTTCCCACCATCTTGTACAACTTCTGCTATTTCTATTTTCCTTCCATTTAAATGGTTCTGTTTAATTTAATGCCTACTTTAAACTTATCTTAAGAACTAATATCTAGGCCGGCAGGTGGTACTAAGGTTAAGGCATGTGGATCCCACACAGCTGATGCTGTGATTTGAATCTTGGTCCCAGCAGCTTGAAAATCATGCCAGGCATGTGTGAATGTTGCCCAAAATTCCGAGAGGTGAATGGGGAGGAGGGATTGTGGCATAATTATCTCTCCTGGGGGTGATTTCCTACGTTCCCTCTCTCTTTCACTTTTCCCTCTCTCTGTCTGCATATATCTGGCGAGCACATGTGCCCTATGGCAAAACTAAAAAAAATAAAGAAAGAGAAATAATATCTACAAACATTGATGTACTAGTTACTTTTTTTCTTAGCTCACAATTTAAAAAATATACAAGATATAATTATGTTTGTTTTCCCAGTAGGAATACTTTAATTTGAACATGATTTACACCTATCTAGTCTTCCCAGGTTTGTTAGCTGAAAATCTAAAATTTGTTTAATATTCATTCATCCTAGATGTTTCATGACCTTGGTGTGGAATTTATTACATATCTTTTGAAATACAGATGAATTTCTGATATTTGAAAATTTCTTTCCTTCTTTCTTCCATGAGCAAGAGAGACAGAAACAGCACCCCCACAGGATACTGAGGCTGAGGTCCACTCACAGCCTCGCCTACTCGCAGATCATGGGCACAGATGTGTCTTGTGTACTCAGGGAAGTCTTCAGGTGTGAACCCAGAACCCTAGTGGGTCGGCCTTGGAAAGCATTGAGTTTTGCCACCGTACCATCATACAATCCTTAATGAATTAATTTTCCTTTTTTAAAAATAAGAGTTATTTATTATTTTTAATTTTATTTATTTATTTATTTTGTTATTGGGCACATGTGCTCACCAGAGAGAGAGACAGAGAGTGAGAAAGTGAGGAAGCAAGCCACCCTGTCTGAGACTGAACCATGTGGGAATCCAGTGCCTTAACTCCCACACCACCTGCTGGCCCCATGAATTTATTTTCTTTGTGCAGTATCACTATATAAACTTTCCTAAAGAAGTTATTTTTGGAGTATACAAAGTCAAGAATGGATTTGGTGATTATTCTCAAGGCTGCCTCATTATGTAATTCCAGAAGATCCCACTTACATTTAGCCTTTCTCCCAAAAAAAAGAAGTTTGATTCTTTTCTGTCTGTTAGTATGATGGTGCTTTCCTTTAATTGTAGCTTTCTTTCGTTGTCTGTTTCTCAAAGAATACATAAAATGTTTTCATGTCAGTTGTTAACATTTTCTCTTCATTGAGGCATGTACGGTTGTATGACTTACTCAGTGTCTCAGAGAAAGTGGCAAATGAGATGAAAACGACTTACCTCTAAATTACTACTTTTCTATCTTCCATTTCCTTGAAGAAAATAACCTAAGATTTATATCAGTACTTAGCACTTATAGAACAAGATCATTTTTTTGGTCAGAATTTACCTATAGAGTGACTCCTCCACAGATGTCAAATTCGTTAACTTACAGAACAGGTTTTGGGGCACACAATAGCCCTTAGGTTGAAAGCTTTGTAGATATCAAATTTATTGATTTCTGAAAAAATATAGTTGGGATAATTTGGTCCTTAGGGACTACATTTAGGTATTGATTTAATTTTACCTAGATTTTGATTAGTGTAGATTATTTTTTGTTCTTTTTCTTGTCTTCTTTTACCTTCCTTCCCCCTTCTTCCTTTTTTTTTTTTTTTTTGAGAAGTTTTCGCTATAGGGCGCGTGCACTTGCCGGAAAGACAGAGAGAGACAGAGAGATAGAAAGCGAGAAATCCCCTCCCAGGGGGGGATGGCCACGCCGCAATCCCTTCTCCTCCATTCTCCTCTCGGGATCTTGGGCACCCACGCACACACGGCCGGTGTGAGTTTAAGCCACCCGGTCTGGGACTCAAACCGTGGTCGACTACGTGGGAGTCCAGTGACATAGCCATTATGCTAACTGCTGTTCACTTTTATTTATTTATTTATTTTTTATGTTTTGGCCATAGAGTACATGTGCTCTATGGAGAGAAACTATGAGAAGGAAAGTGAGACGTCGTCCCTCTGAGGAGTTAGGCATGCACAATCCCAACCTCTTTTTCCTCCATTCTGCTCTGGTATTTCGGGCATACAAGCACACACTGGCATGGTTTTCAAGCCGCCAGGTCTGGGACTCCGATCGATCATCGTCAGCCCTGTGGGAGTCCAACACACTTCTTTCTTTCTTTTTTTAAAGACAAGGTCGCAACATATTACACCCCCCGCCCCCCCAGCGCCCCACTTCCCAGCTGGGACTGCAGGCTCATTGACCACTCACTGCCCAAGCAAATATGAACTGAGTTTATACCAAGCAGTAATTAATGTTGTCTACTCTGGTCAAATTACTCAACCTTTAAAAAGATTTATGGGAGGACCATCAGATGGTATAGAGGTTACATCACTGGACTCCCACGTAGTCAACTGTGGTTCTAGTCCCTGACCTAGCGGTTTGAGTCCCGGACATGGCGGCTTAAAACTCTTGCTGGGAGCGTATGTGTGCGCCCAAAATCCGGAGAGGAGAATGGAGAAGAAGGGATCACAGCGTGGCCATCCCCCTGGGAGGTGATTCCTAACTCTCTGTCTCTATCTTTCCAGTGACCATATGCACTCTATAGCAAAAAAATCTCTCTTAAAAAAAAAAAAAGAATTTATGGGGAGGGAGGGTGAAGGGATGGTGGAGGGATAGGACGAGATTAGGAAAAGTGTTAAACTCAGGAGTGCAGGTAATGGAGCAAATGGCATACCACAACTGAGTGAAAAAAAAAAAAACAGATATGCCAATCATATACTTGTCTATTTATCTATCTCAAATGTGGTGCTCTTTGTTGAAAATGATGAATATGATATTATCTTTTATTTGATTATCACACATTGCATACAGGCTTTGAAAATCCACATTGTGCCCCAGAAAGCCGTACAATTAAATGTAAGTAAATTATAAAAATAAAATAAAATATAAAATTAAATTAAATTAAAATAAAATAAAATAGAATATTTATCATGATTCCTTTTGAAAAATCAGTTTGTCTCAGATATAACTAAGAAAATTAATAATACAATTGGCATTAAGAAAAAATGCTGAGACCAAAGGTTTTCATGATAAATAGACTCACTTAAACAATATTTCTAAATTATCTTTCCCAAAATGTACCCTGCTTTAAAATATCTCAAATTACTGTTGAGAAAAATGAAACCTAATATTTTCTCCAAGTTATTTAATCATATGCCAATTAACACTTGCTTTAAAAAGTAGGAAGCCTTTGAACTCCTTTAATAAATACATATAAAGTATCTAAATGATGGGAGAAGGTGGCTCATGAATCCCTGTGGATAAGAAAAAGAAATGTTTAGATAGATTCACACATAATTGCATCCCATACTGTGCATGCTAACAAATTGTATGAAAAAAGATGTTTACTAGCCTGTTACTAGTTCCTCCCTTAACAAACTCATTTTCTGTTTTATTCCTTTTGTCCTTTTTTTAAAAAGTATCTTTTTAAAAAAATAATTATTTAATTTTTATTCATTTGTTTATTTCTAATTTGATGTGAGAGAGACAAAGACAGAGAATGAAGAAAGCAAGCAGCGAGGTCCAGGACTTGAACCATGGCTGGCCATGTGGGCGTCTAGCACCTTAACCACCATGCCACCTGCCAGCTCTTAAAATGATTTTTAACAAATCCATTTTCTTCTTCTCCTCCTGCAACTCCTCCCCTTCATTCTTTTTTTCTTTACCAGAGCATGAGAGCACTGGTCAGAGAAAGAGAGGGAGAAGAGAAAGCACCCCACGACGGGGCATGGTTATGACACAATTCTCTCTCCTTTATTTTTCCATCCCCATTCTTTCTGGATTTGGGACACACACACACACACACACACACACACACACACCCAGCATGTTTTTCAAGCTGTGAGGGCTGGAATTCCAGCTTTACAGTTGACCATGGAGAATCCAGTTCCCTTAACCATCAGCCCACGGGGCCAGCCCCAACTCGTTTTCATCAGTTTATTGATGACTCAAATGAGAGTATTTTTAATACATTCCTAATCTGCAGAAATATTAAACTTTAAAGTTAATAATTAAATATGGAACAACATTATTAATCCAGAAAAAAATTTCACAAATTGGTAGTCATGGTAGTCATTCCGAACTTAGGTCCAAAATAGTTCTATTAGGTTAGAGGAGAGATTACTTAATAGCAGCAGGAAAGAGCCTTGTAGAGTTCGATTCATTTTAAACTCAACAAGCTGACACTATAGTGGTATATATGAGTATGTATTAAGTAGCTATGTATGTGTGGATACATGTATACACACACACATACACACATAAATTCAAGAAGGAACGTGGTTTTGACTCTTTTATCGAATAACAGTAACACACAATTTCTTTGAGCCCAAATTGACTAAGATGATGATGTAGCGGAATTTCAAGTGAAGTTTGGCATGGTGTGTGTGGCAGTAGAATACTTGAACTTTGAAGATTGCTTCCAGCCCAATGTTTAATCCTGCAAATTATTACACCTCCAAATGAACGCAAAAGAATACCATATATTTCTGGATTATAGAGCTTTTCAAAGATTCTTAGAAAGCTTGATTTTTGCTAATATTTTCAGTTAGTCGTGGTTTTGTGTTTTTTGTTTTTGTTTTTGTTTGTTGGTTTTTTGGTTTTTTTGTTTTTTTGGTTTTTTTTGTTTGTTTGTTTTGTCTTTTGTTATTGTTTTGAGGGCATGTGTGCTTGCCAGAGACAGAGAGGAGAAATTCCGCCCACCACGTCCTGACTGCTGTTGGGGAATGGTCACACCACATTCCTTTCTCCTCCATCTCTCCTGGCTTTTGAGATTTGGGGCAAGCGCACACGTCTGTCTGTGGTGTATCTGAAGTCACAGGTCTGTGACTCATGCCACACTGCTGGCCTTATGGGATCTGGCTGCCTTAGCCACCAGGCTTCAGTCAGTTTTGAGCCACGTTGTGGGAGTGAGTTAGCTGAACAGGCTTCACAAGCATGAAAGTATGGTTGTGGTACAGCTGCAAGAGATCTTTTCTGAGCCTCTCAATTAATGATGTGTCTGTATGTTTGGCATGAGCTTATGCATGGGTCATTTTACATCCCAGATGATCTCAACATCGTTGGCATCATAGCAGCTGCAGTGGTCGTGGTCTTAGTGATTTCCGCTTGTGGCCTTGGCGTGTGCTATGCTCAGAGGAAAGGCTACTTTTCAAGTAAGTGAATTTCCCCCATCTTTGACATACAACTTCTTGTGGGTATAGAGTTTTCTTATGAGATACTGTTTTTGCTAAGTTCTAACAAGCTGTAGAGAATATTTTCCATTGATTTGATTTCCTACTGTAGAAAATGTCCAGGATGGCATGCAGGTGGGTTATGAAACACCTTGACACACAGGGAGGAAAGGAAGAGCTGTCTTGTTGCAAAAGTTCAGGGAGATGCATCCTTAGAATGATGCAGTGCAGTGAGACAGAGATACTCAGCTTTTAAAGATATTTATAGTATTTTTTTAGGTGATTAAGGACCTTTTAAGTTATGAACTATATATCTCAGGATATCAAGTAATCCCAATTTTCTATGAAATTTCTTTGAAATAAAGAAGGGAAATTGTCTTTTTCATTGTAGAACAGTGAAATGTTGAATATCAAATTTAGCACAGCTACTTAGAAGCGAATTGTTCTATAAATCTCTCATATTGCCTCTGTACAAAGTTTTTAGTTCTTCAAGTACAGACCTCTTATAACTTCAGAGTCTCACTGAATGATATAGGTTTCATATAAATGAGTAAGATTTTTTTTTTTTTTTGGAGAGGTTTTTGCTATAGGGCGCGTGCGCTCACCAGACAGAGAGACAGAAAATGAGAAATCATCCCCCAGGGAGGATGGTCACGCCGCAATCCCTTCTCCTCCATTCTCCTCTCGGGATCTTGGGCATGCATACACACGTGCCCGGCGTGAGTTTTAAGCCACCGGGTCCGGGACTCGAACTGCGGTCGACTATGTGGGAGTCCAGCAACGTAGCCATTACGCTAACTGCTGGTTCCCATAAATGAGTAAATTTTTTTTAAATATGCTTTATTCTCTTAAGGCATTTCTTAACTCCTAGTCTTTAAAATCATGAATTTAAAAGCTGTAGAACTCTGTAAGTTTTATTGGCAATAATATATAAAGTAGAATTTTTAGTTTTAGATTCATTGTTTTACAGTAAACATTAATTTTGGAAGTTAGGTTTAAGAGATATTTTACACTAGGACCAGCAGATGGCATGGTTGTTACGGTGCTGGATCCCATATGGCCAACTATGCAGGTCGAGTCCCAGTGATTTGGAAACATGCTGGGCACATGTGTGTGCATGCCCAAAATCCTGAGAGGAAGATGAGGGAGAAGGGATTGTGACATGGTCAACCCCCCTGAGGGGTGACTTCTCCCTTTACCTCTCTCTGTCTCTCTCTGATGAGCATATGCACTCTATAGCAAAAACTAAAAGAAAAAAAAAATGTCTACCAAAATAAAACTTAAATTTAAAAGAAGTTTTCAGTAATGCCTGTAAGTAGGTATTATGTGTCACAAAATGTTTCCATGAACATGGATTCGAGGAGACGCTCTATACTTAAGAATAAATGCTCTCAAATTGCTCTCATATACAGTGTTCTAATTTGGTCCAGTGTGAAGTAATTTTATGAATGGAATCCAGCTGTATCCCCCTACTGGTCACCAGTGAAACTACAGACAGAAATAAGTTCACTTGTGTAAATCTTGTCATTTTTATACTTGCCAAGAATACTTGTCTGGATATTTCTAATTGTTAAAGTATTGAATTAATTAAATAGTTAACTTGGTTGTAAGGAGTTTCTTAGATAAAAATGTTACTCCTGTTTTCATCTGGCAGAAAATTTATCCAAGAAAACTGTATTCTTAGACTTGTATTTATGACAAAGGATAGAAACTTATGACCTGTGGGCCAACCTACTCTCCAATTCACTCTTTTATGACTCATGTACTAAAAATTATTTTTGAAGATGAAAATCTGAATGATAGGCAACACTAGCTTTGAACCCTAGTTAAGAGAAGTGGCATCTCCTCACCCCCCAAAAAGAATTCCACTCTTGTAATTAGTACACCTATATTACGAGACTTTTGATTTTGAATTTTATAAAAAAAAAAAAGTGGGGAATTTTTTTTCTCTCTAGTTACATAAGTATCTACCTGGTATCCTTGATTTTGTCTCTTGGCGCTAAAGCTTCAAATATTTGCTGTGTGACCCACAGAGAAAGTTTGCCAACTCTTGATTTAGAAGGTAACAATATCAGTGAGTGAGAATCAGATGAATAGAAAGAAATTAAACCAAAACCCATTTTTAAAATGAATCTGTGTCATACTATGTTAACTCTTGCATTAATGATTTGTATTTACTCTTTTGTAGAAGAAACTTCTTTCCAGTAAGTATTCTTTCTTGATATGCATGCCTTTTTCCCTATATTAACTAGTACTCTATTACTCATCTGTTTAAATTTGAAAGTGGGAAGTTGGATTGTATAAGTTTCATCTTATGAGAAGCTACTGTAACAAATACATCCTACCACATGCTTTATGTCTACCTGAAAATAATAAGTTCCATAGAGAAGAGATACAGTCACTAATATATATATGTGTGTGTGTGTATAATATATTTTGCTAAATAGAAATTTTTAAAATAAAATTTTACTTAACAGTTATTTTTTTACATTGAATTTGATACCAATTGTGTGCCATACACTGCTCTATAGAGTGGTGATGGAGCAGTAAATAAAACAGGCCCCCAAACCCCGGTAAGGCTCTGCTTACATTCTAGCAGAGAAAGGCAGAAATAAACAAGTATGAATACTCTACAGAATGTCAGACTGTGATAAGTAATGTGGAGAAAAATAAAGCAGGTGAGAGAATAAAGAATACATGGGGGAGGAGGCGGACAGTGGCGCAGTGGTAAAATACCATGTTCTGTGAGGCAGACCCATGTGGAGAAGGTTCCTGACTTGTTTCTGGAGAGTTCCCTGTATACTCAGGCATGCATGTGCCCATGATCTGGGGGTGGGCTGAGGCTGTGGATGGATTGTGGTGTCAGGATCCTGTGGAGAGTGCTGTCTTTCTCTTACTCGTGGAATAAATAAATAAATTTTAAAAAATAATAACATGCAGGTAGTACTGGAAATTTTCATTTCAGACGAGGTGGTCAGTGCAGAGGGTGTAACTGATAAGGTGATGTTTGAGAAAGACCCAAAGGAGGTGAGGAAACAAGTCATTAAAATATCCACAAGGACAATTTTCAGAGGGAGAGAACAAAGAGAAAGAGTCCAATGCTAAGCATGCCGAGAAAGTCTGAGGAGCAGGACAGTGTAGCTGGAACAGAGTGAAGTAAGAAGATGAGTGCACAAAAATGGCAGGGCCAGAGTACATGGAGCCCTTCTGAGGAGCTGAGAGGGGTGAAATGGGAAGCCACTGGAGGGCTTTAAGGGTTGAGCAGAGGAGGAGCACCACCTTACTTCATTCTTCTAAGCTCATAGTGACTGCGCTGCTGACTGTAAGTTGACAAATGGTGGAGTCAGGGGGACCATTTAGGAAACTAGTGCAATAATTGAGGTAAGAGAAAACTGGTGGCTAGAACAACAGCAGTTGTGTTGGAGATGTTGAGAAGTGATTGGATTCTGGATCTGTATTTAGTGATTTGCTGATCCTTTGGATGTGGACTGCGAAAGAAAGAAATCAAATTTGGCTTAAAGGTTTTGAGAAGGATGGAGTTACCATTTATAAAAATAAGGATATATAAAAACTTCATTTCTATGGGGAAAAATTAAATTTGTTTAAAAGTGTATTTATTTCCTAAGAACAAGAGAGAGAGAAAGGAGAGAGAGAAAGGAGAGAGCGACAAGGATGCTCTACAGGGTCGTCACACAGAGTTCTCCCCTCAGCTCTGCAGCCAGCCAGGGTCATGCCTGATGTGTCCTGAGTGGACCTGGGATACAAATCTGGAACCTTCCCGTACAGCTCCCAGCATTGTGTGGTAGCAGCCTACTGTTGATACCATGTGGCTGGACCACAAAATAAGCATCATCAATTGTTTTCAAAGAATTACTTTCTTTATTTTATGTATCATTATTGTTGTTTTAATTTGACAAGAGAGAGAGAGAAAGCGAGATAGCAAGCGGCCAGGTCCAGGACTTGAACCGTGGTCACCCATGTGGGAATCCAGTGCCTTTAACCACCACACCACCTGCCAGCCCCAATAATCATATTGAGATTATAATAATCAGGTTTTCAAGATGTCAAATGCTAATATGTTAAATTAAAAGTGATTTGCGTATTCCACAAAAATCTTCAGTGTACTAGACCTAGACTACACTTAGCGGCTCAGGACTTCACAGGCACTTTGTTATTGGGCTTTCTCTGTGAATATTGTCTAGAAACAGAAGAAATTCAGTTAGGATTGCTGTGTTCTTTTTTTTTTTTTTTTTTTTTTTTTTTCCTTGGGGTAAAACCTAGGGTAAATGTTCATTTCCTACTGAGAATATATATAGAAGTAATATTAACTAAAAGAAGATCTGTGTTTGAGAATTGGAAATGATAATGTAGTAAATATTGTCTTTTATATTCCACAAACAGGAAGGATAGTTCTGCATCGAAAGCCACTACAATGAGTGAAAATGTGAGTTTGGTTTTTTTTTTTCAAGAAAAGCAGTTTTAACTTTAATAAATAGGCTGAATTATCAGTAGAAACTCTTCATTTCTCTTTTTTCCCTGAAATCACTAGTTTGAAAATGTGAGTATTTTAAAAGCATATTTATAGATGAATGTATTCAGGAAACAAGGCAGGGAAATGAAGCAATACTCTGAAAGTGGTAAATGTTCACTCTAATGCACTTTGTACTAGTGTCTACCAACAGCATTTAGAAGGAACTGAATAGTATGGGACCAGCAGTTAGCGTAATGACTATGTCGCTGGACTCCCATGTAGTCAACCGCAGTTCGAGTCCTGGACCTGGTGGCATAAACTCACGCTGGGTATGTGTGTGTGCGCGTGCCCAATATCTTGAGAGGAGAATGGAGGAGAAGGGATAGGATTGTGGCGTGGCCATCCTCCCAGGGCTGATTTCTCGCTTTTTGTCTCTCTGTCTCTCTGGCAAGCACATGCACCCTATAGCAAAAACCTCTCCAAAAAAAAAACCCAAAAGGAACTGAATAATGTTCGCTTCCTCCTCTTGTCAAGGATGGCATGATAAAGATGCTAGCACCTGTAAAGCAACTGCAAAACGTGATCTTTATTACCTTATTATTTTCTCTCATGGTGTTTTCTGTGATTAGTCTGCCTCCTTAATATTGCTAGGTCTGGCATTATCAGCGTTATTTGGCAGATTAGGAAATTAAGACTCAGGTTCTTAGAAAGTAACCATGGTGGAGGTGGAACCCTGGTATTTTGCTGCATGGCCACTGGCCCACACAGGCTATTTCCAGCAGATCTGTGGCTCCAGGCCTTGCCTTTGGTTATTCAAGGCACTTGAAATCAAGAATAAAAAGATCCTTTGTGGAGCCAGAAGGTGGTGTAATGGTTATGCTGCTGGACTCCCACATGGCCGACCACAGTTTGAGTCCTGGACCCAAGGCTTAAAACTCATGCTGGAGATATCTGTGTTCATGTTGCCCAAAATCCTGAGAGGAGAATGGAGGAGAAGAGATGGCAGCATGGCCATCCCTCCTGGGTGGGAGGGTGATTGATCACTTTCTGTCTCTACAGACAGTGCACACACCCTATGAGAAAAATCTCTCTTAATTTTTTTTTTTTTTGAAAAGATCCTCTGGTATTGCTGAAAGCAGCATTTCAGGATGGTTTAACATAATTTAGTCATATGGATGCTTTTACATTTTTGTATTTTTAAACAATACAGTGATGCAGTAAATACCACTGTTACTCAGGAGCAGTAGTTCTTTGGGTAGATATTAGCCTTCTGAATTATTTTTTCAACCTTTTTAGAAGCCTAAGTGCTTCCTTTAAAAATGGAGCATGAGTCTGCATGGTGAGTGCACACACCCTATAGCAAAAAGCTCTTCCAAAAAAAAAAAAAATGAAGCATGAATTCTCAGAGTTCTTGAGTACTCTATGGAAGAGATTCTTTTAGATTTCCTCTTACTAAAACTTGGAGTGGGGTGTGGACATCGCTATTTTTAAACACTAAAGTGATTCCAATGGACATCAGTGTTTAACATCTACTTACTACTTTCTGTAGAGTTTTTTTCTGTAGAAATTTGACTTTTTCACAATTACCTATTCTAGAACTGTTTATCACAGATCTTTCCGTATACTCCACTGAAAGCATGCTATTCTTTAATTAGGAGACAAACAATGTATAACTCCACATTTATTCCAACAATTTATGGAAGGTTCTCCTTGAGTGTGGAATCCAGTGTCCCATCCCACTGAATAGTGAGAGGCCCACCGTGTCCAAACTGAATGGACAAAAGCCTTTTCCCTTCCCTTTTGTCTTCCTCTCAGTGCTCTCAAAGGCAAAGGGCCAGAAGTCTGCTTCAACCCTATTTCTCCCTTATGGCAGGGCTCCTCACCCTCAGCACTGTGGATATTTTGAGCTGTGTACTTCCTTGTGAGTGGCTCTCTTCTGCCTTGTGGGATGTTCAGCCACATCCCTGGTCTTTATGCGCTGGATGCTGGTAGCATCCCCCTAACAAACAAGATTTCTCTGGCTGTAACTTTCAGTCCTATTTTACTCTCTCAGCAGTTTCATACTATCTCAGCAGCTAGTATTTAGTTGTTTCATTTTCTTTTCTTTTTTTTTTTTTTTCCTATAGGGCATGTGTGCTTGTTGGAGAGGCAGAGAGGGACAGAAAGTGAGAAGTCACACCTCCTTCCCCCCCAGGGAGGATGACCACACTGCAGTCCCTTCTTCTCCAGTCTCCTCTTGAGATTTCGGGCATGCATGTGCACGTGCCCAGCATGTTTTAAGCCACTGGGTCTGGGACTCAAACCGCGGTGCACTACATGGGAGTCCAGCGACGTAACCATTTTGCCATCTGCTGGTTCCTAGCTGTTTAGAAGTCCCACAAAGTAGATGAAATTAAATACAGGGTGGTCTGTACCTATAAGATTCTTATGGTAGATATACCTTGATGCTCATAAGATTTCAACTTATTTATGTATATGAATTTAATGCATCAAATGTATATGAAGTTAATACATCATATTTACACTTGTTTTTTCTTTCTTTTTCTAGGACTTCAAGCATACGAAATCATTTATAATTTAAAGGCACTACACTTTTGAGATACACCAAAATCACAGCTGTTACACAAGTTATTAAACTATCATAAAGCTCTGCTTTGTCTTACATTTCGAAGACATACATGAGGAAATGGAATTGATATTTCACTATAATTTTTATGGGCACTAAACCATCTGAAATTGTTATTTTAAGCAAATAGTTCTGTCAATGCCTAAAATACCATCTGGCTTCTTGTGTCTAGACTGAAGAAAAAGAATCAAAATACTTTGTAATATTCTGGGGCTTGTGAAATGTTAATGATGTCCTAACTTTTAAAGATGTTTACTAAAATAGATCATACTGATTGTGAAATCAATCCATAGTGGGTGAAAATATAAACCGCACGCACTCTTCGTGCCAGTCTGATTAGGTGTTCAGAACACTCTGACTGACGCAGAAGGACCTCTGGCCTCGTTTCTACCAGGATCCTCTTTCTTCCCCTAATAGTTTGTATTCTGCTGCTCGTTTATCACTAATCTGTCCACCGAAGGGAGGTAGTGGGGGTGAGTCTTACACCCAAGGCTTTGCACTTTGTGTTTACTTTTACTTCCGAGAACCAAAAACAACATGAAGAGAAATGCCTGGAGGTCAGCCCTCACAGGTGTGCACCTTAGGACTCTTCTGGTGAGGGGGATGAGTTTCTTCATTAAACTTAATTTTGAGAGCCAAACCCAACCCCAGGAGGTGTGTTTCACCTCCAGAGTTGCTTGTTGTTTTCTTCCTGAGACTTCTTTGTGAGGATCAGGGACCTCCACACCAGATCTTGCCTAGGGCAATACCTTTGCTGTGTAAGTGTCGACGTCACAGCTCTGTCCCTAAAGCCTGTGTGGTGCAATTCTGGGACCAGGTGGAGTCCCTTCCTGTAATGGCCAGGGGTTAGTCAGTCTTGTGATGGAGAGCAGGCATGTGGAGGGAGAAGTGGTTGTCGGACAAGTGCAACGAGATGAAAGAGCTCGCTGAGCCTTGTATCTGGCACCCCGCGTGATCCACAGAGGGCACAGGAGAAACCGTGGCTGGACTGAAAAGTGGGTCAAAGCATCTGGTTTCTTAAACAGTCTAACAACCAAGGCCTCCAGTTAGTGTTACAGTATGGAAATTCCAATGATCCATTTAATAGTAAAAGCAATTAGACTGTGTTAAATATATATACACCATTTATAATTTATTTTGATTAATCAATTCACATTAAAAGCAAAATATGGCTGGGCTTGTTCTTCTAGCCAATTCTGGGTGAAAAAGCCACTCAGTACCTCGAACAACTTTGAATACGGTGAAGCTTCTTTTAAGGAAGTCTGCCCAGTAGGCAAAGTAGATCTCAGGACACACTGAACAGACAGGCGGGTTGAGAGTACCTAACCTGCACCTGGGCACCGGGTCCCTGGGTCCCTGGGGATGTGCTGCTCCCCTTCGAGATGCCCGTGGCATTCAGTGCCATCATCAGGCCCACCCCTGGAGGTCTGGCTTCTGTAACTCGGCTCTGCCCCAAAGGACAGATTATCACATTAGTTGGGGTTCAGAGGATATTTTATGGTCCCTGCTGTAACTAATCTCTGCCATTGCAGCCCAAAAGCAGTGTAGACAAGAAGTAAGCAAATGAACGGGTTTGTGCTCCTGGAAAACTTATTTACAAAAAACAAACAAAAAAAAGACAAGCAGACAGGCTTTGGTTGATAGGCAGTTTCCCAACTCTGGTGGTGAAGGACCAAAGCCCAGTGATCTACAAGCTTCTGTAGGACATTTAGCTAATTGCCTTATGCTTTGATGGAACGATGTGCATCCATTTGAGTAAAGCTTTTCCTCTTGCACTGCCAAGTGCCAACGCGCCATGTATCTTAAAGATGCCTCTTCAGGCATACCTGCCGTCACGCGAGATCAACAGTTTCTATTTAATGACACCAATCTGTACTGTGGGGGGACGATGTAGTGCCTTAGCTTCACTAATAGATAAAATGCTTCTTTAGAAGACGTCAAAGACAAGAGGATTCATTCTATGCAGTATGAACATCTCACACTTTTTTTGTGTCAAATATATATTGTACATTATCTTAAAATATTGTATACAGCCAAGTAAAAGCCACTGTGTAAAAATGCTTTCTCCCACACAAAGGACTTAGTATTGAGCACTAATTTTCTAATTATTAAAAATATATTCCATGTGGGTCACTGGTGTCTGTATTTGTGTTTCCACGTGCTTTTATTTGAGGGACTTAAACTAACAAATCGTTAAATCCCATTGTCATTCTTAGAACATTTTCCTGCAGTGAAATTGTGTGACATAAGTATTGGCTGAGAATCTTTAATAGCAAGCTTTGTTTCAATTATTATTGTTGCTGTTGTAACTAGATTAAATTTATTTTCAGTGGAGGGTTTAACCTAACTAAACTAAAATGACTGCTTTTCAATACAACTGCAAAAAACTTCCTTCATCCCACGGGTGGCTTTGTTTGATTACAGTCTGTATTATTAAAAATAGCTGAACTTGTTAAACTTTTTAGCCCCATTTACCAGTGCAGGGGTATAGTCATCCACCTATTGTTCAGTAAACCCCAGGAAACTACACCCTCTTACCATCTGTGACTAAAGGCCAGCTCTTTAGCTGCTTAAAATTAGAATCCCATCATCTCTCAGTTTGAAAGACTGCCAACTTTCCAAACACTGAAGAAGAAGAAGAAAAAACTGAAAATAAAAAAGCAAAAACTATGTATTGAATATTTACATAAGAGTGGGGTGGGGGTGGGGGTAGAAACAGCAGGTGGCATAGTGGTTAAGGCACTGGATTCTCCTATGGCTGGCTAAGGTCTGAGTCCCAGACTTAGTGGCTTGAAAACCATGCTGGGCATGTGTGCATGTATGCCCAAAATCCCAAGAGGAGAATGGGAAAGGAATTGGAGCATGGTCATCGTCCCTGGGGGGGAGGGGGGTGATTTCTCTCCCTACCTCTCATCTACTCTTTCCTCCTTATCTACAGATGCTCAAATCTCTAATCTTGATTTTTAAAATATGGAAACTAACCACAAAGAATGCATTTAAAATCACCCATCTCTAAATCTCACTATCTTTAACCTTTCATTTATTCATTGACTGCATCGATCATTGATGTACTTAATTCTCCCGCCACTGCATTAATCTTTTATATCAGCCTTTTGTTGCTCTCTCACCTTTTGTCTTCTTGGAACTTCCTCCTTCAAATATCCTCTCTTGGTTACAATTTCAATCTCTCCTGTCCTAAAGGCTTCTTTCCCCTCTAGTCTCTTCCCTCATCTATCGGTTTTCTCCATTATTCTCTCTCTCTCTCTCTTTAAATTTATTTTAATTTGTCCAGAAAGGGACAGAGAGAGAGAGAAAGTGAGAAAGCAAACTACCAGGTCTGGGACTTGAACCACAGTCGGTCATGTGGGAGTCTAGCAGCCTTAACCACCATGCCACCTGCCAGCCCACCATTACTCTTTTGAACAAGGTCTCCCTCTTTATCCTTCCGCTGACTAAAAGCCTTTACTCTTTTTAAAAATTTATTTAATTTTATTTCTTAGTAGTTTTTAATTTGCCATAGGGCACGTGTGCACATCAAAGAAAAAAAAAGTAAGAAAGCAAGCGCCTTTTGCAAGGTGTTTTATGCACCTATCAAACCAAACTGTGGTCATTTTATCATAACAACCTATTTACCCACCTCCTCTGTATGCTTCTTATACTCCCTCCACCTGGAATGCCACTTCTCCTAATCTCAAGGGATATAAAGACTATCTACTCTGAGACAAGCTAAATTCCCCTCTGAGACCAACTTTTCTCATTTCCCCAAAAAAGGTTTTTTAAATTCCGTAGCACTTGACTAGTCTTCTGGTGGCGCTTATCTGGATTCTATCACGTACTACAGTTAGGTAAGGACAACGTCTGACATCTTTATCAGTCTGAGGCACTGAGAAAAGAACCATGATTTATACGTCTTTATAATCCCTGAAATATTCAACAATATCTGACATTAGTCAATATCCAATAAATGCTGAGATAATTTTTAAAAACTGAAAGAACAAGTTTAAGGAATATTTACTGATACAATTTTTCTTCAGATTTACTTTAAAACATTGTAATCTGTAATGTCCTTTTAATCAGTTCCTTTATATTATGTAGTTATAAAATGATTATTTCAAGAATTAAGGCTGGAGGGAACCAGCAGTTAGCGTAATGGCTATGTCGCTGGACTCCCACGTAGTCGACCGCGGTTCGCATCCCGGACCCGGTGGCTTAAAACTCACGCCGGGTGCATGTGTGTGCGTGCCCAAGATCCTGAGGGGAGAATGGAGGAGAAGGGACTGCGGCGTGACCATCCCCTCTGGGGGGTGATTTCTCGCTTTCTGTCTCTGTCTCTGTCTGTCTGGCGAGCGCATGCACCCTATAGCGAAAACCTCTCCAAAAAAAAAATTAAGGCTGGAGATAAATTATTATTATTATTATCCTACTCCTTTTAGTTATCAGGCATCCATTTTTATTTTCTTTCTTTCTTTTTTTTTTTTTTTTGAGAGGTTTTTGCTATAGGGCATGTGCACTCGCCAAAAAGGCAGAGACAGACAGAAAGTGAGAAATTACCCCCCGGGGGATGCCACGCCACAATCCCTTTTCCTCCATCCTCCTCTCAGGATCATGGGCACGCACACACATGCCCGGCGTGAGTTTAAGCCACCGGGTCCAGGACTTGAACTGCGGTCGACGACATGGAAGTCCAACAACATAGCCATTATGCTAGCTGCTGGTCCCACAGGCATCCATTTTTACAGTGCTAAGACTCTTAAAATATTTTTCTAACCATCAAATTGTAAAATTTAACATTCCACCTCAATTCTTATTCTGTACAGTTTTGGAGTAGTTTTAGTAGTAGTAATTGGGCAGGAAATTTAAGGTAAACTACAAGCTTCATCTATTTGGAACATTTTTATTTTACTTTTAAACAGGCCATATTTTTAAAAATATACTAATTAAGATATACTGGAATGTAAAATGTTTTTATACTTTCAACTAAGAAAATGTTCTCAAGCAAATAATGTGTGTCAATGAAGGGTCTGGTTAACTTCTTTAACATTGAAAGCAGGTTGTTTTGAAAGTTCATTTTATTTATTTATTTTTTTTTTTTTTTAAGATTTTTGTCATGGTGTGTATGCATTCCTTGGAGAGAAAAATAGAGAGGGAAATTGAGAAATCATCTTTCTCCCCTGCCCAGGAGAAGGCCAGTTAGCCACACACTGCAGTCCTTTTCCTTCCGTGCTCAGGATTTGGGCACCTACGCACTTGCACTGGGTGTTTTCCAACACGTTGGGTCCAGGACTCAACACAACGTCAGCCATTGAGATCTAGCACCTGAACCACCATACCTGTGGCCCCATTTTATGTCTTTATTTTCAGTGTTTTGTTTGTTCATTGCCAGAGGCATGTGTATTTGCTAGGAGAGGGAGAACCCACCCTCAATAAGGCATAGTCACGCCACAATTCGTTTGCCATGTTTCTCCATCCTTTCAGGAATTTAGGCACATGCATACGTACTACTGTGTCTTTTAAAACTGCAGGTGCCAGGATTTGAGCAACTCAGCCAGCCACGTGGGATCTGGGTGCCTTAAGCACCAACCACAGGCCAGTCCCTCTTTTATTTTAGAGTTTTTTCTTTGTTTGTTTGTTTGTTTTTTCCTATTGCCAGAGAGACAGAGAGGCAGAAAGCGAGAAATCACTCCCCAGGGGCATGGCCACACAGCAATCCCTTCTCCATTTCCTCCCAGGGTCTTGGGCACACATGCATGCACACCCAGCCTGATTTTGAAGTCACTGGGTCCCACTCAAACAGTGGTCAGCCATGTGGGAGTCCAGTTACGTAGCCACTACGCCATCTGCTGGTTCCAGGCTAGCTCCTCTTTATTTTCAACTTTTAAGTGTACTATTTATAAGGCTTTCCGCCCGCCCCACTCTCCCCCAGGGTGCTCTTCTGCTCTCCAGAAAGAGACAGACAGAGAAGGAAGGAGAAGGAGAAAGCACCCGCACTCCCATGGGGCATGGCCATTTGTTGGGATTTTGGGCTCATTCACATATTCGCCTAGTTTTTTTCAGGTGACCAGGCCAGGATTCAAATAGTGTGGTCTGTCAAGTGGGATCCAGCTCCCTTAAACATTCGGCCTTGGGCTGGCTCTTATAAGGCTTCTTAGCAGTGGAGTTAAAATAGAGATTTTTCTTCTTTCTTTCTTTTTTTTTTTTAAGAGAATATTTTGCTATAGGGCACCTGCACTCACCAAAGATAGACAGAAAGTGAGAAATTACCCCGCAAGGGGGATGACCACACCGCAATCTCCTCTCTTCCATTCTCCTCTTGGGATTTTGAGCATGCACACACGCACCCAGCGTGAGTTGTAAGCATCTAGGTCCAGACTTGAACCACAGTCAACCACGTGGGAGCCCAACGACATAACCCTGAAGCAATCTGCTGGTCCCACTTCTTTTCATTTTTAAACACACTTTCCTTCCAAATAGTCAGCTACCAGTTAGCTATATCAAAGTTGAAGTTATACTGAATTATATTGAAGACTAAAACTCATTTTTCTAAATTTCAGGATGACATATAGCAAAGACAATGAAAAATATTTTGTACATAAAGACATAATATGTTCACATGACAGGATGTTAACTGGAACTTTTTCTCTTGCCCAAAGACTGAAGACCAAGTATTCTACTTTCTAAACAAAACCATAAATACATTGGGTACAAATACCCTTTCACTGTTCATGAAGAGACAGTGCTGCCCTGAAATAATTATTCCAGCCTAGTACTCCCTTTGCCCTGCCAGGGTATGTGTGTGGATGGACTGGGGATGGGAAGGAATGAGGGGAGAGAGAGACAGAGAGAGAATTAGTTTTTTCATTGTTGTTAAAGAATGATTTATTCAATTCCATTTATTATTATTTCTAATTCTGCTATAGGGCATATGCGCTCACCAGAGAGACACCAGAGAGAGAAAACAAGCCAGTGCCCCAACCACCACACCACCTGAGAATAAATTTTTTAAATGTGTGACAGAAAATGAGTTTGTCAAAGCTATAAGGAATATTATTCTCTAAGACGACTAAAGGGAAACATTGGTAAAAACTAAACGCACCTGCCAAGGAGACAGTGGCTAACTGAGCAGGGTGAAAGAGCTGGAAAAAAACCAAATCGAGGGTTGGGGAAGGAAGGATGACGAAGCACGCCTTTCTGTGATTTCTTTCCTCTCCTTCTCTTAGCTGACGACAGAGCACTTGCTCCCTTTTTCAAGGGTCTGATCACATCCTGGTCAGCTTTCTCAAATCCTGCAGCCCTTTGGATCTTGGGCATTCACGTTCGTGCCCAGCATGTTTCAGGCTGACCTGGCTGGGCATTCCAGCCATGGTTGCCGTATGCGATCCAGCTTCTCCCTAACGGTGTATTACTGCTGTGCCGTGGAGCTGGCCCCCGGTGATTTCATAGGTCGATAACATGTGGGCTTCCTGAGGGTCTTGTAAGCAGGTATCATTAGCAGCTGGCCTTGGGACTTCTTCCAGTCTCCCCACGAACTAACATCTGAAATAAGAGACTGTGGGCTTAACCTATGAGTGGAAGCCGAGGGGAGTTTGAAAGATAGGGAACTGGAGCGAAATTCCCATTTAAGGTCATCTGTACAGGTGGGGAGACCTCCTAGCCTACAGTGTCCCCCCAAGAACTTATACATGCACTTTACCAGAGAGCTAGCATATAAAAGCCTGCTACACCAGGTGCAGGAAAAATCGGAGAAGCCGTATCAGTCGATAATAAAAACTCCTACACTAAGTGGATTAAATAAGGAAAAACTACCTAGAATGGAACTTTTGCTTGTTTATAATTATTATTAAAGGTAGGAACATGTGAATCGCAGATACGTGTTCCTTTCTCATTCTCCCTACCTTTCCTTAACTCGGATTTCCTCTTATAAGGCACTAGCATATTTATAAGGATCCAATTCCATCACATTGCATTAGGGCCCACCCTGAACTCATTTTAACCTAATCACATTTAAAGTTTCTGTCTCCAAATATAGTCATTCTGAAGTACATACTTGGGGTTGGACTCTGACATATACATCTTGGATAAACACAATTCAATCCATAATAGGAGACAAGGTGGGGGGATACATTTGAGGCCAAAAGTCTGGGAGAGGGCTGAAGTCATTTAGGCTGGTTTCATAGGAGACTTCAAGGTCAGCCCCACAGCAGTTAAGTGCACACCGTATGGAGCTGGATCTCACACAGCTCTATCTGTTAGAACAAGCCCAGCCGAAGCGGTCTGAAAAACATGTTAGGTACACATGCGCACATGTGCCTAGGATCCTGACAGGAAGAATGGAGAAAAGGGGACTACATCATTAGACTCCGCTTGGGGGCACTTTCTCTCTGGTGTGTACACGTGCTCCAAAGCATTAAAAAAAAAAAAAAAAAAAAGGAAAAAGGAAAAAAAAAACAGGACCAGCAGTTAGCGTAATGGCTATGTCGCTGGACTCCCATGTAGTCAACTGCTGTTCGTGTCCTGGACCCGGTGGCTTAAAACTCAGGCCAAGCGTGTGTGCGTGCGCATGACCAAGATCCCGAGAGGAGAGTGGAGGAGAAAGGATCGCAGCGTGGCCATTCCCCTGGGGGGTGATTTCTCGCTTTCTGTCTCTCTCTGTCTTTCTGGTGAGCACACGTGCCCTATAGCAAACAAACAACAAAAAACAAAAACAAAAAACCTCTCAAAAAAAAAAAAAGAAAAAAAAAATACGTGGCACTTCAAAAAGTTCACACAAGACTGAAATTAAAGCACAAGTTTATCTTGTTGCAAAGTCCTCAAGTCTATGCATAGTTTCCTCCTGATTTTCTGTGAACCTTTTAAAGACCCATCCCGTTGCATAAGGTAGTTGGTTCCTAATGACAAGTGCAGGATCAGAAGTGCACTGGAAGGCTGAAGCACCAGCCAAAGGCTAGTTTGCAGTTGGGGCATCTCAGCACAAAGACAAGGCTGAGGAACATGAGGCCTTGGGTAATCCGACTCATAGCACCCCTAGAGGTTCAGCTATGGAAGCACTTGTCTGATGTAAATTCAGGTAGAACGTATCTAAATATAGGGCATGTGGTAGTGGGGCACATTGTGATGTTAGAATCCTGTTTCAATAATTCAAAATTGAAATGTCTGAGCAAACTCCAAATAGTTGCAAGACAGATAAAAAATCTGCATAGCATGTGATAAACAAGTGTAAAATTACAAAGGGGAAAATTCAACAAAATTCTCCGTGAAGCAGGAAGGAGACAGGGAAATGACACTTGCTGAGTCTGTCCTGTGGTTAGAACTGGCAGTTGCAGTTTATCCGAGGCAGTCCACTGTGACAGGTGGGCGAAGCAGAGCTGTTCAGCTATTTCAGTCACTATGCAACTAGACTTCCTCAATTACCTTTAAATAGTACTATAATTAACTATCGAATTCTCTGTTAAATAAAAGTAGCTGGGCCAGACCATAGCTCAGTGGTTAAGGGAGTTGGATCCCACATGACCAACTTGTTTTACAAACTTTTTTATTCATGATAGAGAGCAAGCACACATACAAGAGACAGAAAGAGGAGCATCCTCCCCTGGTCTGGTTGGTCGAGAGCTTCCTCCAGCCCCCTAGGCCATCAGATGCACGTGTGCAAATGTAGTTTCAGGCCAACAGGCTGAGGATTTGAACTGCTGTCACCAGGTGGAATTTGACTTATTTTGAGCAGTGAGACACCACGGTACCAGAGTTAGTCCCATGACCGACTATGGTTTGAATCATAGCCACAGTACCTTGAAAAACTTACCAGGTGCACGTGCATGCTTGCCTAAAATTTTGGTGGGACAGAACATAGAGGAAAAAGGACTGAGGCATGACCATGCCCCACTGGGAGGTGTTTTCTTTCTGGCAAGTGTATGTACCCTTTGGCAATTAAAAAATAAAAGTAGTTCAACTGATCTGACATTGGTTCAATTGTATTTGAATAAAATGGGACTGTCTCTTCTCACTACTTTACCCTCCCAACTCCTTCTCTATATAGCGTATTATTTTTTTCATACCTATGTCATCAGGAAATATCTGTGAATATTTTTTGTAAGGTTTATTAAGAACATCTATTAACATGTTTCAGAGTTATTGCCAGATATAAAATGGCATAACTATCTCCCCCCTTTTTAAAAATAAAAACATAATTGAAATCCATCTACAACTGCTGGAATTTTGATGGTGTCCAATATGCCAGTTATTCAAGACATAGATTGCTGGACCTTTTTTTGCTTGGACAGAAAACCCAAATGATTTCATCTTTTAGAATAAAGTTCCTCCACAGAACTCACCGCTCCCTTCAACCCCCACCTTCTTCTCTGCATTCTATATAGAACTGTAATGACTGATCTGCAAGTAAGGATGATGAGAGACTGGGATAAAATCATTTGCCATTTCAGGATATAAAAGTCAATAGATATTCCTGCACATATTTAGAATTACATTTGAGTTTCTTGAAAAAGCTATGACAAAGAATTTGTAAACCATTCTTCATATTCTAGGAGAGGGTGTAACATCCCTCCACAGCTAATATCCTTTTGGGTAATGTTGCCTCATCTGAGGTGGTGGGTCTCCACAACACGAGGACATCTTGGCACACTGAGAAGGGTCTGGCAAGGTTATAAGCAAGTTTATGGTAGTGCCCAGTTTATCCAGGGTCTCTCTCTGCTTCATTATAACCAAACGAAAGCATTAAAAAAAGCCCTAGGACTCAGAATTAAATATATAAAGGCCACATGCAACATCTCCAAATAATTTATTTAGAATCAGAATTAAAAGAACATTTGACAGCTGTGAAATAGATGTTTATTCGGATACTTCTGTAGTTGTACAACTGACTCATCACAAATAACTGTATTGTTACTTTACTTCTTTAGGACGGGGGTTTATCGATGACTTCAAATTTGGGATCTAAGAAGAGGAAAAAAACAGTTCAAACTTAGTAACATTGCAATAAAATGTATTATCTAGAATGTTTCGAGATGTACCTCATCAATTTTGTTTATTTTTATTTTTTGGTGACTATTAGTTTTTGAACATCTACACAGAAATATAGTAATAACTAAACATTTACTCAACACTTTCATGTGCCATGCTTTCTAAAAACGGATTTTACACACACTGTGTCAATTAGTTACCATAAAAGGAAAACATTATAGGTTGAATATTCTTAACTGAAATGGTTGGGACCAAACTGTTTTGGTTTTATTTGGATTTTCGAATATTTCCACATATATAAGATTCTAGGGACAGAACTCACGTCTAAACACAAAAAGTCATTTCTGTTTCATATAAACCTTACACACATAGCCTGAAGGTAATTTTATGCAATATTTTTGTATTGTAGTGTTTTGTGACTGCAACCTGTCACATGAGGCTCCACATGTGTGGAGATTTTTACTTGTGGCATCAGGTCAATGTTCAAAACTTTGGGAATCTGGAGGATTTCAGATAGAGTAATGGATGTCCAACCTACATAAATCTCCCTAAATGTGAGATGAGGAACCAGGACCTCACAAGTATCCAAGCTCACACAGCTAATAAGTAATACTGTCAGGAGTCAAGATCAGGGCATTTTGATTTTAAAACTTCTTCATTAATTTCTATGTTATGTGATTGCCCACTAAGGGCAAACTTTTATCTGAAAGTTTCCCATGCATATGTTATTATTCTAATAAATTCACATGTAAATGTTAACTCTCTAAACAATTCAAATATGTGTAAGTATTTTAAGTAGAGACACTTAACATTAATACCCTACAAGAATGAATCTGTGATTAAAGAGACTGACCTTCAAACTTGAAGCTAGGGAACGTGTTCATGTCTGCTTTACCATACATCTGCTTCAGCTTAAAAAGCTCCCTCTCCAGATCTTGCTGATATTCTGGGCCAGTATCAACAGGTCCTCCAGTTGCCCTATTGCATAAATGAGCAAATAAAAACTATTTTATACATTAGTTTACAAAAACAAAACTACTTTTTGCCATGCACGTTTCAATAGACCTTACAGCTGTTCATGTAGGGAA